ATATATATATATATATATATATAAGGGTTGGCGGGTCAAAAATCTCAACCCAAACCCGCTTATTTTCGAGGTGGGTCAGTATCAAGTTACGGGTTGAATCAAGAGTTGCTATCGCCTATTTTGAAACCCATGTGTAGTTATCTGTGTGATTTCAATTACACTACTTTTTGGATAAAAAAAGTATAGTTTTACCCCTATTAATGATGAAACTGGGTTTTATTATGTATATCTTTTACATGCAATAAATAAGGCATTGAAAAAAATTGGATATAAAAAAGCAAAGGTTGACTTACAATTGAGTAATTCAATTAAATATCTTAGAATTGATCACAGAGATAATTATATGGATCTACAATACTTTTAGTTGGTTGGAATCGTCATCATCATACACACCACAACAAAATGAAATTGTCGAACGCAAAAAATCAAGTTTTAAAGGATATGATAAATTCAATGTTTTCTTACTTGGGATTGAGTAAGATATTTTTGGAAGATACCATGTAAACATCTTGTTATGTTCTTAATAATGTTCCCATATGAGTTTTGGTTTAAGAAATCCCAAAAATTGAAGTATTGTGTTTATACATGTACATGCATTACAACTAGCCCTTGGCCACAAGAAATTGTTGTCTCTACCTCCACCATGATTAAAGAATAAAACCCTAAACACATCATATGTAACCAAAATGAACAAATTTATTAAACTTTTGAAAACAAAATGTTGTAAATGTTGATAAAAAAGAAAAACCAAGAAACGTAAAACATATTTTAGGGTTGAGGTGTTGGTGCTACAGAATCAGGTGAAGGCAAAATAAATCCAGATCGTTTGTTGGTGTTTGGACCCGCATCTTCATAATCCAACTCTATCATCACTCTTGTTGTTCCTTCACTTTCCTGCTCATTATTCAATATTTAACCCAATTAATTACATTTTATTCGACCCATTTTGCTCATATTTTATGTGGTTATGTGTACAAGTTACTTAAAATATCAAATGACGTATATTATATATGCAAATACCTTAGGCTTATGGGATCGGGTTATGAACAAATCGCAGCCCATTGGATGAAATCACAGCCAATTAAGGCCCATATATGATTTCAGCCCATTTATTTTAATGGTTAGATTGTTATTTCTTAATTAATATTTTTTGGAAAATAATTAGTGAACTTGGTTAGACTTTTTTTTTTCGAAAAAAAAAAAAACTAATCATTATCTTTTTTATTATCGAAAGCCAAAATTCCGTAGGACTACTTAAAATTTTTGAAAACATTATTGTAATGTTACAAGTTGCCAAGTCTATTGAACTTGGAATGTCACAAAAGAATCTCTGAAGTTTCCATTTCACCAAACATTAATTGGAAAAACTGATTAAATTCCTATTATTTTAATTATAAAGAATTATTGATGTCATTAGTCTTAATATCCATGGGATTAGTTATTTATCAGAACACTGTCATTTCTATTCATAACATGCGATGATGCCTAAAAGAAGGTAACAATCATTTTCCTATAAAAGCATTTGAACATAATCATTTTAAAAACCAATGTCGTTCATATTTTATTCTTTTGGTAATTATAGTGTTTAGCTTTTTATCAATTTCATTTATCATATGATTATTATCCCTTTGAGCCAAATATATCACAGCAAAAACGATAAAATATCTACACACTGACTCAATTTTATCAAGCATTGAGCTATTTACTCAGATTTCTGTATATACACAGCAAAAATCTCTATAACAATTAGAAAAGGAGGGAAAAATGAAATGAATACCTCAATCGGAGAGGGAGGAGACGCAAAACTATCGCCAATCGTTGTAGATTTCATCAGTTCTCTACTAAACCCTAATCGACATACGGAAATCAAATTTACAGCGACAAAAGCTATAGATCCTGTTTAAATCATACAATTTGAGAAGACAATAGGCTTACCAGTTGACAATAACAGAAACAGAATAGCGATAATGGCGAAAGCATTGCGAGAAGACGATGGAGACATTTTCCGAAGCTTCTTCTTCAGTTCTTCAGCGATTAGTCTATGAATCGATGTTTGTAATTCGAAGCGATAATTTAGAAAGGAGTGATTATAAGCAATCGCCATGAAAACAGATCCAGAGTATTTATAGGAGGCGGTTTGGGTGTGGGGGTGTGTGTGTGTGATAAAGGTGGCCAGGGTGCACTTGCGTTGACAAATTGGAAGTAATAAATTATGCAACATCAATCTCAAAATCAAAGCATAAATTTATCGTTAAACTTTTAAATAATATATTATAATAAATGGTTATAGAATCTATGTATTAAAATAATGATATTCATTTTTAATAAAGCAGTTTACACAAATATTTTTTTTAAATAAGTCAAAACAATTGAGTCAAACTTGGTTGAGGGGTAGCACCTTTGTCGACAATCTTTTAGTTTTTTAAAAAATTAATATGATTTATATATTTCAAAAATAACATTATTATAATAATAATCTAACCGGTCTATTAAAACAATTTATCAAGTATTGTGTATATGAACTAAAGGTAGCGTAACATTATCGAAAATTTGTATATAATAATTAAATTCGCAGAAAACAAAGTTCCAAAATATACAAAGAAGTGTTTTTCAGAAAAGAAAACATTAAGTTTTAAAAAATATAATAACAAAGTTAAGGGAAAAGAATTGAGAAGAAAGTTATAAAAATCGGTGGCTCTAGTTTTACACTATGTTACCGTACTATTTGTGAGACCCGTGTATTAAATGAGTTGATTTATAAAAAAAAAAGTTAAATATAAAGGTTTAAATATTTGAGAATTTTGAATTTATAAAAAAAATAAGAAAAATAATGAATTGTTAAAATTGAAATGTTTTTTTATCTTTTAAATTTAAACAAATAATTTAGATAAATAAACAAAATAAACTAATGAACTTTAATTTATAAATATTAAAATTAGAAGGTAAGTCCATTAATGAAATTGATATTCATTTATTATTTTATTTATTGCAATTATTACATTAAAATACTATATGAAATTTAATAAAAAAGAAAAACCCATAAAATGACATATGGAAAAAAAAATTAATGCAAAATAACCACAAAATGATATGTGGCATAATGTATAAAAGGATGACAAATGGTAAAAATTATTTTCATTTATTAGGGGGAACTAGTTGTGAAATTCATATATTATACGAGTTGATTAAAACAAAATGTTAAATACGAATGATTAAACGGAAAGTTTCTTTGAATGTAAAATTTGAAATAAGTAAAATTATGAGAAAAAAATAATAAATAAAAACATGCAAAAAATAAATGAATTAAAATTATATGTTTAGTTGTCAGATCTGTATACTAAACGTGTTAATTATAACAAAATGTTAAATACAAATGTTTAAACTATAAATTTATTTAAAGTTGAAATTGAAATTTGAAATTTATATAGTCATTATGGTATGTTTAATTTATAGAAACTAAATTAATAATATATTGAAAAATAAAAAATGAAGTAAATGACAAGTGGAAAATAAATATCTCAAAATTATGACAAAATGACATGTGGCATAATGCATGGGAAAATTATATGTGGCAAAATTATTTTCATTTATTGGGGAGGGGGGATTCATTCTATTTAACGAAAGAAGGGAAAATAATTGGGAAGAAAGTTATAAAAATGGTGTTCCGAAGTTGTTTTTTTTATAACGATCCCTCCTAAGTTTCCTTCCAAAAATAAAGGGATTTGGAGAAAAAAAAAATCATGTTTAATACCAACTCTTGAACGTTACCAAACTTCTAATTAATATATTAAATATCATGATCGTAACGTAGATCAACACATCATCAACAAACCATCTCTTAGATTACTTCTCAAATGCCCAAATTTGTTTTCTTCTTCACATATACCCACAATTTCTTCATCAACTATAAGCCATGGTATTTTTCTTCACTAAGTGTCTTCTTCATGTTATGCTTCTTTTCTCTTCATTATTTTTTATTCTTCTTACTTCAATCAGGAAAAGATAGTTTTCACATATATAAATTTCTTAAGAATTTTTAGTGTTAAGAATAAACGAGAATAATATACACGCACGCGCACAAACAAATGCATGGTATTTAATGTGGTTTGGTCAATGTAACATACGTCCACATAGTAAGAGGATTTTTATTCTCAATCTTGAAACGATAGAAACGGTATAATTGAAACCATAGCTAGCAGTCGTTATATATATAGACCAAGTACAAATGGAAACCCTATCTAGAACATGGTCGGTCCCCAAAACATTCCAGATGAAATTTAGCCTTATATCAGCTAGGTTTTCCTTGGTATCTATCTTTTGAATAGAAAACTTTTCTTCTTTCAAAACATTCTAGATTAAATTTAGCCTTACATCAATATGTTTTGTATCTATCTTTTGAATAGAATACTTTTCTTCTTTCAAAAATTTAGCCTTACATCAGATGAAATTTGGTATCTATCTTTTGAATAGAAAACCTTTCTTCTTTCAAAACATTTCATATTAAATTTAGCCTTACATCAATATGTTTTGTCTTCTCAATATAGATCATATTCTTTGCAAGACACAAAACACTTTAAGGTGTTGTTTGTTTTTTCTGAGGGAAAATGTCTGCAGTCTGCGGACCACATCTGTAGACCTCTGCAGTAGAAGGGGTGGACCAAACGTCTGCAGTCTGAAAAAAGAAGACTGTTTGTTTTTTTAACATCTGCGGGCTACTAAAATAAACTGAAATCTAAATAAACTGATTTTTTCAAATTTCAAAGTGATTTTTTTAATATTTTTATGACTTTGTTATAAATAATTAACTAATCTAGATCAACTTTTATGTATTATTGTATAAAAAATAAAAATAAAATGGTATGAATTAACGTATATATTTGATAAAAACCAACAACTTTGGTTGCAAAGTTATAACTAAACATTATAATTAGTGATCAAATAATTTGATACATAACTAGATGGAAATAAACTTCAATTTTTTCAATTAAATCCATTAAAAACGTACGATAAATATTTTCTCGAGAAATTGACGATACTGTATTAAATAAT